GTCCTGCCTGACGGTCACTCGCTCACCTAGGCCTTCCCTCATCCCCTGTCTCGTCCACACAGAGTGCACCTCTTCATGGCCCAGGGACATGGGACTCGTGAACAGACCCTGTTTGGGGGTGTTCTGGGAAGGGCTTCACCCCAGGGTGAGAGACGGGGAGTGGGCCCTGTGGGGGCAGCAGAGAGGGTTGGGGGCTGCATCTGGATGTCTTGTCAGCTCTCTGAGGACCAGCATTAATGAAGCATCACATTTGTGCGCTGTATTGAGAGCAGCTGGAAAATTCTAGAAAAGGAGACTGATAGTGGGAAGCCTGCTTTGCTTGATTTTATAACACTTTCAAAGGTAAATAAGTCAAACTGTTTTTTTGCCGCAAAAATGTAAAATCATTTGGAATTGAGCGGAAAGTTCAGAAATGGACATCTGTGATGATGAATGTTTTATTGCATGATTGGCTTTAAAATATGGATTGGAACTAAATGCCTCACTCATGTTAATGAATTAATAGTAGTGAGAATAGTAACTCTATGTATGACATATATATATATACACACATACATATATATATATATATATATATATATATATACATATATATATATATGTAAAGGAACTCACTGCCATCGAGTTGATTCCGACTCATAGCATTTCTCATTTCTGTGGTGGTATCTCTGCGGAAGAAAGATTGCTCAGTCTTCTTTTGCAGAGTGGCTGCTGGGTTTGAACCACCAACCTTCTGGTTAGCAGTCAAATGCCTTAGGCACTGCGCCACCAGAGCTCCTTGTGAGCCTATATAGTGACTTTACATCCGTTTCCATGTTCTTGATCCTGAACTTGTTTGAAGTTTTCTCAGGAGACTATTTGACAACGTACTTTTATTATTTATTTTTAAAGGGGAGAGTTAATATTTTACTGTCATTTATAAGTAGATGGCAGCTGAGCATATAGTCTTAATACTTAATCATTTTTATTTATAAAAAAGTTAAGTTTTAAACAGCTGATGATTGGTTGTATTTTCAGAATATATGACTAGCTTAATTCCTAAACGGTAGCTTCGAGTTTTTCCTTATTAGCACCAGAAAATTCACCCACCTTTTGTCCTTTTCTACAAAACTAAAATGTTGGCTTGCATTTGACTTCACACACCGCAGCCACATCCTGACAGTCGTCTCCATCAACTTGACGGAGCAGCACAGGGCCCTGCTTTTCCGACAGGAAATGATCGAATGGCTCGATCGTTTAGCAAGGTCCACACCACGAGGCTGGGAAGTCAAATACTACGTGTGTGTCTCCAGCATCATTCAAGGCTGCCTGGAAGTAGTCCTTGCCTTCAGTCTCCTTCAGCATTGTGGTCCTTGGGTTCTGACGAGCGATTATGGAAAAAATGGACCTGAGGCACAGGACACGGCTTGGACCTTTCAACATACTTTTAATGCTGTGTTAGATTCTTAACTGTTGGGTTTTTAAGGTTCCCTTCTGAATATCAACCGTCTGGGTTCAGATTTTCAGAGTGCCTGTGACACGGTTGTCTCGTCCGTAACAGAACACATATGTATGTCGTTACATTACTTAATACATGTAGTGCATGTCACTTACCTGTCACTTAAGACACGGAAAGCATTTCGAGTAATGGCTAGTACATGGGAGGTGTTCACAAACTCGTTCCTTGCTGTCATGGTCGTTATTACGTGCTTAGATTCTGGCCTTTCTTTGAAGCATTGTCATCCCTGACTGCCCTACCCCTGCTCTGGCTCCTCTAGAGACTCAGTGTTGAGTAATCGGTGTGTACAACGTAGTATGGGGCACTTATTTATGGACAACCCTTTGTGAAATAGTTTTCATTTGTATGTTTCTTTTATCATCCACAGGTGTGAGACTTAGCAGATTTTTATGTCGTCTGCTAGAAAAGTGCAGTAAAACAAAATCAGAGGGAAAAAACTAGGGTTGTGATTCGTTCAGAGTTATCACTTAATGAATCTGTCAGGACACTCACTGCAGTCTAATCACCACTTCATATGATAAAAGGGTGAAGCAGTGATTAGACTGCACTGAGTGTCCTCACAGAAGGGGGAGAAGGTGCCTCGCTGCGTGTGAAGGTAAGAACTCTCCCATGCCCGCTTGGTGAAATGCGTTTTTCATTACAGGGACTACTGACATTCAGAGACGTGGCCATAGAGTTCTCCCGGGAGGAGTGGGCGTGCCTGGCCCCTGCCCAGAGGGCTCTGTACAGGGACGTGATGTTGGAGAACTACAGGAACCTGGTCTCCCTCGGTGAGCACCGCTTCCCTCTAGGAATTACTACCTTTGTATCGCATTGACTCTGGGAATCCCTGATAGACTTAACTGAATTTCAAATCCCTGTGTTGTTGTTGTTGCTGACTTGTTATTGGGATTTGGGTGAAAGTTTACAGAGCCAGTTGGTTTTCCCTTTCGTGACTTGAAAGCAGACCCCCCATGTAAGAGCTCTCTTCCCACTTCCTCCCTGTGGTCACCACTTCCCTTTGTCCTGCTGTCCCATCCCTTCCTGTCTTCTGAGCCTTCTCCTTGGGCAAATGCTGCCCTTTGGATCTCATATGGTTCACTGTTCTAAGGAGTGCAGACCTCCCAGGTGTTACTGTTCATAATATTCCATTATATGTACAGCAAAACCTACGAAAGCCGGGCCACATGTAAGGTGGAAACCTGTCACAGAAGGAAAACTCAAATATTTTCCGCTCAGAGAGAGTGGAAAAATGATGAGATTTCACCCTGTCAGAGGCAGGTAACTTGCAGCACCTGGAAAACTAAGGCTGTCCCATCAAGTTCTGGCTCTCACAGGTTCAGTGTGTAGACCATGTTTTGTTTATCCTTTTGTCTGTTGATGGGCACCTGGGATGTTGCCACCTTTTGACCACTGTGAAAAATGCTGTCGTGGGCATTGGAATCCATGTATCTGTTGGAACTGCTTACAGTTCTTTCTGGTCCATTGGTGGGAACACCGTTGGTGGGTCGGGTGTTTTCCACAGCAGCTATGCCATTTCCCATGGCCGCCACAGTTGGACACGTTTCAATTTCTGTGCAGCCTCAACCCCAGAGCTCCGTTTAGCACTCGGGTAGTGAATGTCCTCTACTGATGACTTCTCACAGCTTCTGTTTATCTGAGAACGTCTTGATTTTTCCTTCCTTTTTAAACATTAGTCTTGCCAGATACAGAATTCTTGGTTGACAGCTTTTTCTATCAGGAAAATCACGTCATCCCACTGCCTTCTGGCCTCCATGATTTCTGAGAAGAAATCGGCTGTCAATATTATTGAGAACGTATGGGCGTCGTGGATCAAATTGTATCCCCCAAAAATATGAGTCGACTTGGCTGGGCCATACTTCTCAGTAGTTTGGTGGTTATGCAGTCATGTAATGTAGAAGTTATCCCCTATGATGTCATCTGAGGTGATAAGTTGATCAGTTGTGAGAGGGTGAGGGTGGGGTGCAACCCCCTTGATCCTGTCCCAACCCTGATCGTAAGAGGGGTTCCCCTGGGGTGTGGCCTTTAAGACCTTTTACAAGAGAGAAAAGGAGAGAGAAGGGAGCAGAGTGTGGGTGAGCTACTGCGACCAAGAAAGAAGAGCTGGGACAGGGCGTGGCTTCTGGACTCAGGGTCCCTGCGTCGGGAGCCTCCTGGAACCAGGAAGCCTCCCACTGGAGCCGTGCTCTCAGCTCTGACACCTGGCCTCCTGCGACAATAAATTTCTGTTGG